GGGAAGAGAGGGAGGGAAAAATTAAGAAATAGAGTGCGAGACAGAAAAAAAATTGGAGTTAAAGTGAGATAGACAAAAAGAAAGTCAAAAAGAAAGTGAGAGAAAAACAAAAAGATGGAGAAAGAGAGAAAGCAAAATAAAAATAAAAAAGGGAGAGGCATGAAAAGAGAGATAAACAGCTGGAGAAGAGAGAAGGAAAGAAAAAATTGAGAAAGAAAGAAAGGATAGAAATAGAGAAAGAGAGAAAAAGAGAGAAATAGAAAATGAGAGAGCGAAAAAATGATAAACAGAGAAAGAGAAAGATAGAGACAAAGATAAATAGAGAGGAATAAAGAGAGAGATGAAGAAGGGAGAGAGGAGTAGTGATAGAGAGAGAGGGAGAGAGATAGTGATAGAGAGAAAGAGAATGAAAGGGAATGAGAGAGACGAAGGTAAAAAGAGAGTAAGATAGAGAAAGAGAGGTAGATAGAGAAAAATATAGAGAGAGAAGGAGATCGAGATAGAGATAGAGAGAGAGAGGTAGAGAGAGAGAAAGAGTGCGACAGAGAGGGAGGGATAAAAAGAAAGGTGGAGAAAGGAAGGGAGAGATAAAAGGAGGGTGAAAGAAAGAGAGAGAAAGTCAGAAACAGATAAGGAGAGAGGGGGACTAAAGAGAAAAAGAGAAAGGCAGAGATAAAAAAAAAAAGAAAAGGGAAAAATGAAGAGCAACAGAGAAAGAAAAAATGAGAAAATAAGAAAGAGATAAAGACAGAGAGACAGAAAGAAAGAAAAAAATAAAGAGAAAAAGAGAAACAAAGAGATATATAAAAAGAAAGGGATATATAAAGAAAAAGAAATATATAAAGATAAAGAGAAAGAAAGAAGGAAAGAATAAAAGAAAACGTATATGAGAGAAGGAGAGAAAAAACAGAGATAGAGAGTGTAAATATTGAATATGCTCAGGAAATTATAATCCAACAATTTCAACATAATTCTAGATAATGATGGACATTAATGAACGCGATACTCTATGGTATCCACATCACCAAAACATTATTGACATGTGAGATCTGAAAGGATACCAAGAGCGGCCGCGTTAAATCCACCTGTCTTGTTTGCGGTGACCATTCAAATCAATGCTCCAGGGACCTTTCTCGTTAACGATATAAAAAAATTTTACCAATCTACTATTATGTTTCTCTGTACAGTTTTTCGTTACTTTACAAGTTACTATTGTACACCATCTTATTTTGTTGTTGACTAATCCCATAAAGTCATTAAGCTAACAAAGCAATTCTGGAGAATAAACTTCGAATATCTTTTTTGTTTTATTGTTTTATTTCTACGTCTATATATATAAATATATATATATAGTGTCTACGTGTCCTAGTTTCTAGAAGAGCACTAGTTTAAGCACACGCTAGAAAAAAATGGATAAAGTAGTAACAAAATTGTTCGACATATGAATATACCCTGACTTCGGTTTGACGCGAGCAGTTCAAATTACACGAAGACACTCTTTCTTTTTTATAAACTTGATATGAAGGCTTCAAGGATAACTCATTAACCATATTGCAGCAAATAGCACATCATAAAAAATATACTACAGTAGTGAAGGGTTGATAGCCTTCAAGATTCGAAAGCAGAGGGAAGAAGGACTCTAACAATTTATGCATTGTTTCGATGTTCATCATATTATGTATTAGCGCTGGTTAACTACAAGCGATTAAAATATCTAAAAATCTTTGTACAGGGCTAACATAAGATCATCCGTTTAAACGTTTTCATACTTAATAGAAAGGTTTAGTGATATTCTGTTTAAATGGAAACAGTTGTTTAAGTTTACATAAATGGGATAAACAAATGCAAGATGGGAAGGGACTTGTAAGTACGAAATCTCCCAGTAAATAAGCTTCTTCGAAAATGGGCAAAATTTAGCGATATCCTTTCTGATGGGAAACTGTCAGATAAATATGATATTTCACTTATTCTCCAATAAAGGATTACGAAGTAATTGCATTAAAAATCAAATTAATTATAAAAAACATCAAATATGTATTCAAATCAGTTCCGGCTTTCAGAGACAACCATTTATATTAAATATGTTTCTTTAAATATTTATAATTAGTATTTTTAATATTAAATTATAATAATAATTACATTTATTAATATTTTTAAAATTTAATAACATTATATCTATTCATTAATTTTTAGAAGTTTCTAGGGTTTTCATTCATTATATATTATTTAAATGATCCAAAATAATTTCTGTATGTAAAAGGAGTGATGTTATAGTATTCAACTAAATTATTTGTAAATTCTTCCTTATTATTATTCCATATTTCAATATTTAATACTGTGTTTTGTTCAACAATACGCAAATAAATTTAAAAAAGTAAAAACGCACTTTTGAATAAAAGATTTTTGAGTAGATACAGGAGAGTATAGGCCTACTGCTCATGTTATTGGATGAAACCTACAATGTTGCACATGCACATGCCGTCTTCAAAAAAATTGCTTAATGTGGTGCTCATAAACGTTAATTAAATAATTATAGAACTTTGTGATTACGCTTTTTAAAGAAACTTAGATATCAGTTAATTGGTAGATTGATGCTTTCAGAACAGTAGATACTCAAGAGGTAATTCAAGTCTTCATCATAACCAAATTAAACTCAATTCGATTTTGAAGCGACTTCATTACAAGTTCTTTACTTAGCTCTGAATTAAAACATTTGGGATTTTTTTATTTATTAAAATTTATATAAATTTTTTTAACCAAAATATTAAAATAATGTCCTTCTTATTAGTCCCAACAATATATGTGTAATATACGAGTAACTTTGAGAAACATAAGCGCGTTGCATTTAAAACCTTCGACTGAGACCACAACCAGAACCAAATTCAGAAATTTTTATATCTTTTTACAATTTGTATTCAATTTTACATTAAATTACTTATTATTTATTATTTACAAGTGATACCAACTATTATATACCCAAAAAGATACATTGGGTAGTCAATTTTCAGTAATAAGTCTTTAAACATAATGGAATTGATTGCTCACCAACCAACCAACGAAACATCCGTTACCGATATGTATATAGATGAAGCGGAATGAAGTATATTATTATTCATTTGTTTAAAAGTTTTCCTCGATATATTAATTCTAAAAATGGTTAAAGAAATTGGATATATCGCATGGACGAAGGTTACTATTGCGACCTTCTAAAAAATTCAATGGACAAGCTAAACTTAAAATAAAATTACAAAAGAGTTTATTTTAACTTATCATAAAAATTTATTTTCTCATTAATAATTTTATCATAATTTTATTTAATAATTTTAAATAAAAATTTTAATAAATAATGAATACATAATAAATATTTCTTATTAAAAAATAAATTAATTTTAGAACATGCATGTAATTAATTTAATTTAATACCTCAATATTTATTTATAAACAATTAAATTCGTTAAGAATAATTGTTCATAATTATAAACTTTTTTCCACCCAATAGTCTGACATAGAGAGGCGAAATTCAATAAATTAATTAATTTAATTAATTTAATTTAATTAATTAACATTACATAATTATTATGATTATTATTTTAAAAAATATAAAATTATTAAAAGGTTTAAAATATTAAACACAAATATATAAGTGCTACTTTTTATTTAAAAAAACATTTTATCATCTTGAACACGGGAGAATCCAAACAGGCATGCGGCAGTCAAGAAGATTCATTGATCCTGAACACATGAAAGTTGATGCTATACTGAACTTCTTACATAACTCTGAAGACTCAATCAGCACATGCAGAATATAGGTGAGATAGAAAGTGATTCCTGTTGTCTCTGTTATGAGGAGAAGGAAACATCAGAACATATTCCATACAACTCCTCAGCGGAGCCAAGACGTAGACTTGACTACCTTGGAAACGGGATCTTAGTTTCAAATCAAATAGGTAAAATTAATCCCACAGCAATTAATCTCTACTTTTTTTTCAGTGCTACAATATAGTTCAAATATGATAAAGTATTGCATTTTATCTTTAATTTATATCATCTGCCAAACTATATAGGCTATATTCTAAGCATTCATAGAAATGGAAGCGAAACATTTGTTTCGTTAAAGCATTTTTAATATAATATGTAAAATTACGTTGTAGATATATTCTGGCGTGTAGTGTATTTTTAATATGCCACACATACAAACGAAATCGTAAAACTGCAATAAATATGTAATACAATAATAACAATAACGGTAATAATAACGATAATGCGTTACATTTATATTGGGCAAAAAGTAATTAGCGTTTTCAGTCAGAACTGGAAACATATTTTTTTCAATTTTTATTACTCTGTATAATACCCATTGGGGTCACTTTCTTATATTTTACTTCTAAAACTAGTATTATTTTATTTAAAAATTATGAAAAATTATGAAAAATTTTTTTATGTAGGTAGATCACGTGTCCCGCAATCCTATTTTGTGTCACTGAACTGTAATAGAAATTGGAACT